GTTAGGACCAGCCACTAAAGTCTTTAAAAAGCTCAATGGGAGAAAACGGAGCGGAATTGAAAATCACCTCCCCAAAGGTGGGCCAGATGGGAGATTTGGGCAAAAGAACAGTGCGGGCAAATGCTAGATTCCAGAAGCCAAATCTGCAGTTGTTGAGGTGGAGGATGGAAAGTGCAGCTCCCTCTGAGCCTTTGTCCTCAGGACAGACTACTGGATCTGGGGACACAGGACACTGGACAATGCTGCAGCTGGACTCCCACTTCAAGACAGTGAAAGTGACCGGAGTCCTTGGAAAGGTGATCAGAGACACTTGTTAGACGCTGTCTACTGGATTCCCACTCATGACCCCCATGCCCAATCAAAGGAAACACTGCCTGTTCCAGGGCCCCTCTGCCAATCTCTGTTGTGCTTCAGGACGCTGTCACAGCCAGTGTGTCAATCTATCTCACAGAGGGTCTTCCTCTTTTTCTCAGACTCTCTGTCAAGCGAGGAGCCCCTTCTGGGAGCTCCCACCCCTACCTGAACCCCGCCCTTTGAGGCCACACCCCCCTGCACCCAACCGCATCTCCTTCCACTCCCATCATCTCTCAGCCTTCCATGTGCTTCAGCTCTGCCACGTGTTTGCATGGCAACTTTACCAGGCCAGGTGAGAGGCAGGACATAGAAGTCACATCGATTATTACCCGTTTTTTCAGGAAGAAGAAACCGAGGCTGCCCAAAGAGGTTACTCTTATGCTGAGCTCACCCAGGGAGTTAGTAACAGAGGTTAAAAACATAGCTTGACAATGGGGAGCCAGGTTGCTGACTGAAAGTCAGATTAAGCAATCACATCTCAACCTCCCCACAAATCTTTGCAGACAATCCCCACCTCAGCCACCCTTCTTAGGTTCTCATAGCAGTACTGTTATGTGCCTTGCAGTAAGTAGGTACCAACTCCTAGTTGACCTCTCAGCAAGTTTTCAGAAGGTTTAAGCCACACGGGAGGAGATTGCTCATCTTTTTCCCATGGAGCAGCTGCTGGATTCAAACCGTCTGC